GACATGTTTAAAATAATCTCTTTTTATTTTTAAAAAGCTCTGTTATAAAACTGGTGGCATTCCAAGCAGGTGACTGATTAGATTTAACAGTTTTTTAGATTTTGTTCCCTTGAACCATCCTTATATATATTTTAGAAGGAAAAATGAGGAATAGATGCAGTGGTTTAGTGATACACACACAAATATACATGGAATTGCAGTACATAAGGGATAAAGAGAGTTTTCACTCCATAAGACCTGTTGCCACTCATTTTCAGTCCAGTTCTTGTGTAATAAGTCATTACACAAGGACCATTTCGTGTGAAGCTTCAGTGAAAGGTAAATGGATATACTGAAGGGTCAGATAGATCTCTCGGCTCTCAGGTCTTTGCTCCTGTTTTTTAAGGACATGACTTTCTGCTCCACTGTAGATATTTCTGCCGTACAATTGCCCTCCAATTGTTCAGTTTCTTCAAATTTTTTAAGGGCACACTGCACACCATGCTGAGATGTGGCAGGTTTTTTTAGATTATAGATCCAAGTTTATACAGAAGAGATATTTTTGCAACAGGTTGCTTGTAACAAAGGGCTTAAAGATACAATTTAAAACTGATTCTTTTTGAGGTTGTTTGTTATGTGTAAACACAACGCTGGTTTATTCCTTAAATTAGATGCAGCAAATGTCCAAAGAAAAACGATAGATTAATAGATGTTCTAAATTCAATGTCCCCACACTTAGTTTATAACAGAAATGCCATCACAGGTCATTGGAGACATTGTCTTTTCCCTGTGACCCACATAAGTTTCCTGCTTTACTAATTATAGTCATTGTTAAGGGACGAACAGGAAGCATTACATGCTTTTAAAAGCTTTTATTATAGTTCCTGCTGTAGTAGGAACTACAGCAGTATAACATTTTTGACATAACAAACATATACGTGAGCTGTGTAAGCATTTACAGTTGGCACGGCTGCTAAAAAAGCAAAATTATGCAGTCTGTTGTGGAAAAACTAAACATGCCTACTGATTCAGCAGTTTGGAGAACCACCTTTAGCAGCAATAACTTGAAGTACTCATGTTCTGTGTCACTTTATTGGTCTCTCACAATGTTGTGGAGGAATTTCAGCCCACAATTTTTTACAATGTTGCTTTACCTTCTCCTCAATCTCACTACAGAGCACAATGTCGTTCATTGAGGAATGTGGCACTCATTTATATAGATAGCTCTCTTAACATCCCAACACAGCATTTAAATCAGACTGAGGGCTGGTCTTTAACTTTTGTTCTTTAACTATTCTTTTGTAGATTTCCTCTGCTTTGGGTCATTGTCCTGTTACATGACCCAATTTTGGTCAAACTTTGGCTGTCACCTTATGCAATAGTCTTTATATATGCTTGCATTTTCTTCTATTTCACTGCTTTTCTGTTTCGTAACACTTTTTGGGTTCCAGCTTGGTAATGCATATTACCCTACCTTGTTCCCCCTTCTTTTCTTTGTGTTTTTTTCCCATCATATTCAATCAAATCTGCAAAGTTTGTGACTTTTTGGTGAGGAGTAAGGCATGATAAATCTAACCTTCTTTGGACTATACAAAACAAAACAAAACAAAAGCCCTTCCCTTTTCATACATTGAAGTAAAAGTCAGATTTTAGAAAAGTGTATGCCCTGCAGAACCAATCAGAATCTGGGACAGGAGGACAAAGGATAAAAATGCTGTCCAGTCCTGCGTAAAGTGGGACATCCGATCACCCTTGTCCTGCACCATCCTCACACACTTGTCTCCCACTCCTGACAGTACCAGTTTCTCTCCTGGCGCCCTTTCATGTGCCTTCTCTATATCCACAGAGACACAGTCCAACTCCTTCTGAGCTTCTCTAAACTTCTCCATCAACACAATCAAAGCTTAAAGTTGAAAAGTAATAATGATAATAATTAGAAAAATAGAGTAATCGCTTATTCAAGTACACCAGTGTGGCTAAGTGATACGTGGTGGCGCTGTAGAGTCAACATACCCACTATTCAGGCCGCGAAGAAAAGCACAACGACGGAAGTAAAGAAGACAAACCGGAACATAAACAAAGGCTCAGCGTGACTCTGAAAGAGTGAGCCTGTGACCTGTTGTTGTTTTTTTCTGGATTAGAGAAATGAAAACTGTCTCTCTGTTAGGGTCTGGTGTGTTGTGATGTCCGTGTTTGTACCGATCACCAGCTTTGTGCGCATGCAGCTAACGTGGAGAGGCTCTTTGCTGCTTAGACCCCCTCCCACTGGACTCAGGTGTGTGTTGGCAGCCGGTAAAAAGGACCTGATAGACCTTCCTGTCCTGGTCGAGGATGAGCTCGAAGAGCAGTTTGTGAGAGGATCTGGACCCGGAGGACAGGCGACCAACAAAACCAGCAACTGCGTGGTGCTCAAGCACATCCCCACTGGGATCGTGGTGAAGGTGCTTTTTGTTCACCAATAGTTAATCGTGTAATGGTGTCCAGTACATCTGGAATACCTTTGATATTGTTTGTTGTCTTTTAATCTCCTCTCCAGTGCCACCAGACCAGATCTGTGGACATAAATCGAAAACGTGCCCGAGAGATTATGAGGGAGAAACTCGACGTTACGTACAAAGGAGAGCTCAGTGAAGTTGTGATGAAGAAGAAGGAGTCTGTGCTCAGGAAACAAGAAAAGAGGAGGAAGGCCAACGAGAACCTGGAGAGAAAGAGACTGTTCAAAGAAGCGCTGGCTTCAGACTCCAAGCCCGGAAATGACACTGTATGAGTGGTGTGTGTGTGTGTGTATGTATGTGGTCGGTGAGGTCAGAGATACTTGAATGATCCTGCACGTTGTGTCTGTAAAGCCTCAGTCTGAAGAAGTGCTGTCAGTTCTAATAACAAGATTGTATTTGTTTAGCTTCAGACAGGCACAGTATCAGTGTGTCATATAAGGATTAAAATAAAATTAAACATCACTGATGTGTGATTGGTTGTTTATTCTTGTGAGTCTAAACTTGAGTTAAATAGGGGGGTCTGCTTCGTTTACCTTTAGATTGAAGTAGGATGGCAAAGATTTTGGAAGCCATGGAGCATTCAGCATATTTGAATTTCACAAGAAAAAGCTTAAAAAGAGACGAGTTGATCTATAGATGTCTTCATGTTGAAACCTAAAGGTGTCACCAGAACACAGTAATATATAAGTGGACCTATTGCAAATGAACATAAAAAAAATGTTTGCTTCTATTTATACTGATTATAGGATGCTGAAAAATTGCATTGAAATGAATTACAGTTGCTGGACAAGTACCTTGCTGCTACCCAGTTAGATCCCTTTTGCCTCCAGAGCTACCTAAATTCTTTTCACATAGATTCAAGATGGTGTCAGAAACATTCCTCTGAGACTTTGGTCCATACCGGCATGATAACATTGTACAGATTTGTAGGCTGAATATCCATGATATAAATGTCCTGTTCAATCACATCCCAAAGGGATGTGACTGAACTATTGAATTGAGATCTGGTGACTGTGGAGGCAATTTGAGTACAGTGAACTCAAGCAGTTGAAGATGCTTTTGGCTTTATGACATGGTGTGTTATCCATCAGAAAATGGGTGCTCTGTGGTCATAAAGGGATTCTCAGCAGCAATACTCAGTTGGT